GTTGAATAATAAAGATTTTCTCGTTAGTGTTATTCTCTTACATTCTTCTATGTTATTGTCTATTGGTTCTAGCCTGCAGAATAATCACTAATTTGCTCGACGTCAGATCTAAAAGCGGAATATCATATTTCATGGTTGGTATCACAAAAATCGAACCTCAAACTGAGTTAACGGAACCTCACTCTGATATATGGAAAAAAAACCACGGGCAAAAGAGGAAAATTCAATATAAGATGAAAGAATACAATATTTTGTGCTTACTACTTGTTTTAAATCACATTAAAGAGTGAACTATGCATAGAGTACATGCCAAACCCTAATTATAGTGTCATAGATAGGAAGAGTATCTTAAAATTCATTGATAGCAAGCGATGGGATATTGCTCAGCTTGGTGTTCATGAGCCGAATCTTTGTTTCAAATCTGATTTTCACTCCCCAAATGGCGCCTAGGTGCCCAGATTGGGGGCTTAAGCACCCACCCCCTACCCTAAAAATTCCAAATCCATATTTTGACTTCTTCAACATCTTCTTCAACCCAAACGCAAATTTCCAACATCACAATTCAATAGATATTTTCACACACATGAAAGTTACAATACCAAAGATCTGTATCCAAACAAACGATAAAGAAGATATGGACATTTCAGAAAATACTCTATCTTCTGTTCTAGTTGAATTTTGGATGGACTATAAATATATATAGCTCAGGTTGATGGAAATGCCTTTTTTTCTTCTTGTTTTTGAGTAAAACGGTGACAACTCATGGTGGTGGAGGTGTATTTCGTGACTAAATGTATTCTGTGGCAACTCATGGTGGTAGAGAGAGATGTATTCTGCGACTAGATGGAATCACAACAGCACTGATGGATATGGTGGTGGCGATGGCAGCAAAGAAGATTGATATGGTGGTGGTGGTGGTGGGTCAGTTAGTATTGGAGCTTAAAGACCATTTGAGAGTAGAAGCGTATGATTTGGAACGTTACATGGGTAGATCTTTTTAATGGGTTTAACAAGAGATGAACAAACATTTCCATATGTAAATATTTTAACAATGAGAAAAGAAGTGTTACAAATGAGCTTTATATTAACTTTATTTAACAACAGTTATAGGTTCATTATTAAATGTAAGGATTATATAAAATTTTATGCAACAAACACTTAACGTTGTAAAACGATATTATTAATAACGGGTAAACTAACACTGCTATATGTAATTCTCTAATATGCACACAGAACGTTGCAAAATATGTCACATGTTAACTTCATTCATCAATGGCTATGAAATATATAAACTTTTTTCCAATAGACTACGGACGTTGTTGAAGAATACATTCGTAACATGCATTAAATATTGTTGTCAAATTTCAATTGAGTTAACCAATGGCAACATATATTTAATGAGAGTTGCGATAAACCCTTTTTAGTAACACATAATTAATGAATGTTTTTATTTAAATTTTGCAAAGGGCTATTTTTCTTGTAGTGTTCTGTGCATTAGATGTCTAGACACCAATGTCAGCACTAACCAGCAAATCGTGATTTTACGAAAAACGGGTGTAAATGCTAGATATGTACGAATTTACAAAATAAACAAATATCAAAGCTATTGCTTCAAAAATTACTCATAATAGAAACCCAATTTACTACGGAAAGAAAAGGATTATTTCAAAATTTTCACATTTTTTTTTTTTAACATTTTGCATGTTGAAAACCATTTAACTGTCTGATCCATACCTTGGAAATAGGAAGAAAGTCAGATTTCCTATACCGCCCATACCAACAAAAGGGATTCTTCTACCAATCTCATTATGTGCACTTCCATTTTTCATTACATTTTCCAAATGAATCACTTGATCAGTTGTATTGAAACAAAATCTTCCCTTTGCAATAAATAAATTGTCCGGTCTCTTGAAGAATTCTTGTGTCATCTTCCTTTTGATTCCTTTGCTCTGAAAGATACCTGAACAATAACAACAACGTTTTTTTTTCAATTCTCCATCAAAAGTAGTTTCAGTAAACTAATTGCATTTAGATCTTCCCCCTCTCAACCCCAATAACAGATGATTGATTACAATATTCTTGCCAAAGTAAATTCATTATCTTAGGACAAAAAAGAAACAAAATAAATAATTATTCCTTTTCCAGATCAAGTAAAAATATTCTTAGTTTGAAAACTTTAAATTTCAGCTCAATTCAGCAATCCCTACAATAAAAACACCACATGCACTGAAATAGCTGGAAACGATTATCCAATGCACTGTTTCTGCT